GCTATATTTAAATATCTATACGAAACATGTTCAAACGAAGTCCAAACTTATATGGAATGTTGTCTAAACCTGTTTCCTAAAAAATCCTTAGTCGGCCTTGATGACGTAAATTTGGGTATTAGGCGTGCCACTTACTTTGTCCAAAACAAGAAAATAGGATTTTTCAGATGATTCTTTTCCTTTCCAATAGTCGACCTCCAAAAAGTTGGTTGGAAAGAACATCTGTGAAATAAACTGCGCTCCTAGACGATATTGCAAAACAAAGTGTAGAGTTCTACAGAATAGGTTACTAATTGCCTTGGAAACCTCCAAGGGCTTCACAACCACAAAAGTGTATTAAAGCTACAAATTCTAAAATTAACACAAAATCCTAAAACAATTAATCTAATATAAATCAACAAAAAAGAACAACATGCCACAAAAATAAAACTCGCAAACAACAAAAAATGTAAAATCACAGACAACGACTTCCATTACGCAATCCATAATAATTAAACTAATTACTTACAGATTTAAAATAAAAATAGCTAAACTTCTTAATAACTAAAACTAACGGAGAATCTACAAAATAATTAAAGTCTAAAAACTTATAAAATTAAATTTGAAAATTGAAATTAAGTAAACTACATATCTGGCCAAAGGCAGAAAGCATTCAACCTATTTACATGAACAAATAACATAGATGAATCCATAAGAGAAAGAAGAATTAATCAAATCAATATGGTAGACCTGTTTGGTATATTGAATTGCTTCTAAATGCTTAAAAACTAACCTAAATTGAAATCTTTGAGGAAAAATATGAACAAAGATAAAAAAAAAAAAACTAAGGCTATGAACAAGAACAGATCTTGCAAACTAATCTGGAAACTATGCTGAAATCTAGGACAAAGCAGTCTGAAAGTTGAAAAACATATGCTTTGGGCAGTGTGTGTAGGGCAGGCCGTCTGGAACTGATTTTTTCTTCCTGTTTTTCTTTCCTTTGGTGCTGGGAAACCTCCTCCATGTTTCTCAGCCCTCTCTCACCATGAGTAGTGGAGACTCCACGTCTGGTAGATGTATGGCAGTTGACAATTTTTTATTCAACCTTATCTTTAATAAAACCCTAATAATCTTTCTCCTAACAAACCTCAACTTCCTACTTTAAATCAACCTCAAACACCATAAATTATTTTATCTTCTACCACTTGAAATCCAGTTTCTTTAAAATTTTGTTTGGGCTCTTAAACTGTAATCCAGTTCAACCCAAATCTAACCTACTGATTTTTCTTGATAATTGGGTTTCAACTTGACACGTGGCATGACCTTATTGGTTTATTTTTAGATGTAAACAAAACCATTAGATGATACAATTTTTAAAAAATTATTAAAATTCATAAAAATAGAATTATTACATTTTGAAAATTCATGTTTACCTTTTATTAAAAAAATTTCGTGTTTATTTTTGTTCTTCTTAAGATGAAATAATTCTTAACAGAGACAAAATTAGTAAAAAAAAAAAAAAGAACCTTTAAAATTATGCCTAAAAGAAAATTTAACAAATAAATTGGACAACTGATAGCGAAAAAAAATTGAACTCCCCATTGTTAGAATTTA